TCTTTGTTGTACCGGCCTAGCCTGAAAACCTTCTCAATGCTATGCTCGGCCCCTTCCATGTCTAGTGCCTTTAGTACTTCATTCACTGCTGCTTTGTCCTTGTCATTCCACTCTGTCCTATTGGTTCCTTCCTGTTCCCTAATACCCACAGCAACCACTGATCTTTTCCTTTCCAGCAGTTGGCTAGTGGAGCGTGCCGCCTCCTGCGAGGTGGCTTCTGAAATGTGTGTGTGTGTGTGCGCGCGCGCGTGCGTGCGTGTACTCACCTAGTTGTGCTTGCGGGGAATGAGCTCTGGCTCTTTGGGCCCGCCCCTCAACTGTCAATCACCTGATTTTTTTCCAAACACACACACATACACACACACAAACACACACACACACACACAATAGAAGAAACAGCCCTTAGCAGCTGTCTAACTCACAGGTACCTATTTACTGCTAGATGAACAGGGGCAACAGGGTGAAAACAAAGTCTGCCTATTTGTTTCCGCCTCCGCCGGGGATCGCTCTCCGGACCTTAAGACTACGAATCCTGAGTGTTGTCTAGTCAGCCGTCAGGCCCCTGGTGTGTGTGTGTGTGTGTGTGTGTGTGTGTGTGTGTGTGTGTGTGTGTGTGTGTGTGTGTGTGTGTGTGTCTGCGCGCACGCGCGTGTATTTACATGTCCACATACGCGTGTATGCTTGAGGCTCTTCGTACATCAAGGTATTCCACAGGTAACATCTACAGTCGAACACGAGGCGGGACCAAAGAGCCAGAGCTCAACTCCCGCAAGCACAACTAGATGAATACAACAACCTGCCTCCACAAGGGTTTCCTACGCGGCATTTGTCAGTGAGCAGCCGAATGGGGGAACAGATGTTGAGCTGTTGAAGCTTTGGGCTGCTGCTAATGCTGCTGCTGCTGCTGCCAAGCTTAGATTTACACACCTGGCTTCTTTACCATCCTTTTATATTTCCACATTTCTGTTTCATTTTCTGTCGTTTGATATTCGTCCTCATTACCTGGGGGCCTCGTAGCCTGGTGGATAGCGCGCAGGACTCGTAATTCTGTGGCGCGGGTTCGATTCCCGCACGAGGCAGAAACAAATGGGCACAGTTTCTTTCACCCTGAATGCCCCTGTTACCTAGCAGTAAATAGGTACTTGGGAGTTAGTCAGCTGTCACGGGCTGCTTCCTGGGGGTGGAGGCCTGGTCGAGGACCGGGCCGCGGGGACACTAAAAGCCCCGAAATCATCTCAAGATAACATCAAGATAACCACATTGTTCGTATCTTCCTACTTCCCTAAGTGTGTGTTTTTCATTTATTTAGGAAAGTGAAAACCGTTTTCATTTTTCATTCCTTTAAGTATTTATTATTCCGAAATATGTCGTGGGAATATAACATTACGAGGAGCTTCCTTGTATTTATATACAAAAAACAAAAGCTAAGGGAGTGTATGAATATGTATGAACGTTAGGTATACAAAAAACTGTGTATACTTTCTGTCACAATGTACCGAGAAACTCTGCTGTCAATCACCAGCACCACCTTGGTCAATTTGTTTGACGGTATTGTTTCAGACACGCTAGGGTGAGTTGGTCTGAGTTATATAGAGATTCGTTGTGTGTTGGTCTGTTGTTGTGTTATGGTCCCTGTAAGGGGTGTCTGTGGTTTAAGGTCCCTGTAAGGGGTGTCTCTTGGTCTGTTATTGTCTTGTGGTCCTTATGAGGGGTGTCCGTTGTTATTTGGAGTTCTGTTAGCTTAAGCGGCTGTTGGTGGTCGTGCTGTTATGAAGTATTCGCTGTAGCGGGTGTCTGTTATAGTGTTGTGATGGGCTTGCTGTAACGGTCATCTGTAGTGTTGTATTCTCTTCGATACAATAGCCGTCTGTAGTCTTGTATTGTATTCCCTGTAGCAGCCGTCTGTGGTCCCCGCTTGTCACTAGCTGTGTGCTCTTTTATTAGTGGAACTTTTTCATATAATTCACAAGTTTTGTGAATTTCAGGACAGTTGCTTGAAACATGTTACAACTATCCTGAATATTCTATTTGACTGTTACGACAGGATTCGATTTTCTACTGCTAGGGCTCCCCAACTGAAGCATACAGTCAGTTCAAGTCTTTTTAACGGTAAAACAAGATGAAATACAGCATTGAACACGAATACATGCTTATGTGTAATAGATGAGATATAATACGGGATTGTCTTAGAGCGAGCTATCTAGCTATACATTTATTATATTTCAAACCACTAGATTAACTAAATTTTTTAAACGTTTTAAATAAACCGCTCCTTAAGTGGATCTTGTCAACTAGAAGGTGAGTATGGAAAGGACCTCAACCAGCCAATCATAGATGGGGTCTGGTGGCGGATTTTAAGGAAAGGGAGAAGGCGACGCGTTCTTCTATATAAGGCGTTCTTGCTGAATCCGGTGTGTAGAAAATATAACGTGAAAAAATTAAACATGTGAATTAATGAATGTGTATTCACACAGTTAACCCGGTTGTGTCAGCTCTTTATTTATACCAACCATTGTTGTTCAGGAACTGGTGCACTAATGCTCTCAGCTTTCTAATTAGTTTGTTTCGATGATGTTACCAGGTAGATCGTTCCACATATGTATACAAACCAATGTTTTATTTTCTAAATGTTTACTTATCCAGTTTTAATCCATTGTTTCGTGTTTTTGTTTTGGGTTTATATTTTCATCCATTTATATTCACTTTGGGAAACCGTTACACAATTTTAGATATACAAGTCTCTAAATCTACGTCTTTCATTATATGTAAACCAGAGTTTACTTAAAGTCTCTTCTATGAAAGGTTGAAAAAGACTAGTAATAACTTAGATTTCTCTTTCTGCAAATATTCAATGCTATTTACATTACAGATAGAGTACTTTGCTCAAAACTGTACCGCATGATCTAAATGCATTGACAATCTGGAAAAAGTCGTCTGTTTTGAGGTTTCCAGACACGATACGTGATCCACAATGGACTGAACACTGCATATTAGTTGGGTCTTTGACTCAACACCTTACCAATCAACTACGGGATGGTTATTAAGGCCACAACAGTAGCTTACTGACAAAGCATCAATTGTACTTTGGTCTTGAACATCCAAGTCTAAGGAACTTGCTAACAGATTGGTAGATCAGATTCTTCGGAGCATGGGGCGCTGAGTTAAATCCGCTGATTGCATTCCCCTTGGCGTCGTGGTAAGGCACTCTTCTAGCGTTTCGCAAGGGCTTTGGCCTGGGTTCGTATCCTGACCGGGGAGGAGTTATTGGGCTCCAATCATTAACTGTAGCCTCTCTTTACCCAACAGTAAAATGGGTACCTGGTTTCGAAACGATTTGACGGGTCGTATTCCGGAGAATATTAGGATTAAGGACTTGCGCAAAACGCTACGCATGCTGGTGGCTCTACAAGAATGTAGGAACTCTTGTATATATAAATTAAAAAATAACCGGATAGAGATCGTAGATTAGTGAATAAATCCCAACGTAAGTAGCATAGCGATCCATGATGGAGTTGGTAAATCTTTAGGATTGTGGAGATGTTTCTTGTGAGTACTGGAGGCACTACAACGCTTCAATATATATTGAAGCCTTTTTGAGTCTTAGTTCGAATTATGGTCCTACGAGTTTAACCTCAGCTTCCATCATCATTCTCTCCTCGGGTTATACACACAGCAATTCACTTTCCCCCAAAGCAGCTGTAATCAGCCATACTGAGCCACAAACCATCCCAAGTATACCGTCTATCCATCCTTTCCATCCGGAACCATCCCAACTCGCCATCCTTCAGTGTATCAGTCATCCCAGCCAATCAGTCGCGAAGTGGACCTTCCACTCAAAACGTTTCTTCATCAGTAACCTCAGTCCTCTAATCACTATGGTCCCCCCCAATCATTACGCTGCCCAATTATGCTTGGATCTAATCACACTAATCCCTCCACCGCCCGTCATACTTAATGATTTTAATCCTGTTTTCTCAATTAATTCTGCGAGCCTATATATTTTTAACTCCTTTTTCCCCCTGGATATATTTTTTTCCTTGTCAGTTTCCCACGAGGCTTTAGTTTTTCCGCAGAAAAATAATTGCATATATGTTCTTGTTTTGCTTAAAGAATTCTAAAATAAATTTAATTCATGCCTCAAATTTTTTATTTATTTTTTTTTCAATATGAGATACTGGTTTATGCGTACCTTATTATTTTTGCTTATTTCGGATTTATTAGTGACGAGTTTTAATTGTTTACTTTAATTATATGCGTGAGGCATTTAGTTCCTAAATTACAGAATCACACAAAATAGGAAGCAAAATAGGGAAAAATATATCACTAATTGCTTCTACGATTTGTACACGTTATTACGTTCGTTGCAACGTTGAAAAAACGTAAAAATAGTAAACATAACGTCGAAAAAAACGTAACGATAGTAAACAGATCGTCGATACGTTGCGTTTATAAAGAAATGGAGCAGCTGTTGTTTGTGATAAATAATGAATCGAAAAACTGAACTGTATTACTCTGAATATGTTAAAGTCTGAGGCCGCACATAGATCTTGCACTGGGATGGGATTTTTGCGCCATTTTTACAAAAGTTTATCCTCAATGCTCCTCTTTCTACCACATCACCGTTTCAATTTGCAAGGAGATACTATTTTTTAGTCGAGTGCATTATATTCCACCGTAGCAATCTCGCCAGCCAGTCTTGCGCGCCTGAAACCTTGAAAAATGTCCAGATTTCGAAGAGTGAAACCTGGAAACCTGATGTTGTTTAATAAAATAGTTCTCCAGCAAGGAAAACTCTCGTGTTTCTGAGTCTAGAAACCGGGGAGTTCATTACTAAAGATAAAGTGCGATACAGATTGGTTTCTCCCTCTTTTCGGAAGGTTTCTATGCAAGATTTGGGGTTTCTATAAGCCGGTTGGAATCTGGTTACGATCTGGCAGTAATGTTTATTATTGTAGGTAAGTAACTGTTGGATTGTTATCATTTCTGCGATATCAAGTGTGCTATCGTACCGATAATTGTTCATCTAATATTGCATACTGGCCACCCAGCACTCCATACTGGCCACCCAGCACTCCATACTGGCCACCCAGCACTCCAAACTGGCCACCCACCACTCCATACTGGCCACCCAGCACTCCAAACTGGCCACCCAGCACTCCAAACTGGCCACCCACCACTCCAAACTGGCCACCCACCACTCCAAACTGGCCCCCCACCACTCCAAACTGGCCACCCAGCACTCCATACTGGCCACCCAGCACTCCATACTGGCCACCCAGCACTCCAAACTGGCCACCCAGCACTCCAAACTGGCCACCCATCACTCCAAACTGGCCACCCACCACTCCAAACTGGCCCCCCACCACTCCAAACTGGCCCCCCACCACTCCAAACTGGCCACCCACCACTCCAAACTGGCCCCCCACCACTCCAAACTGGCCACCCACCACTCCAAACTGGCCACCCACCACTCCAAACTGGCCACCCACCACTCCAAACTGGCCACCCAGCACTTCATACTGGCCACCCAGCAAATCTGTTAGCGTTATAGCACGTCGCATTTTGATGTATACTTTACTCAAGGCCAAAAATAAACGTCATACTAGAACATGCGACTCGTGAAATTGACATACTGTTCCGTTTTCTGTTCGTGGATCCTCTGGTTGGTTAGATTGGGGCACTTTAGTACGACTGTTTCTTGAACGCTCGCGAGAACGGGCTGATCCAGCCTCCCTTACTGGCCAATCAGTCCCTGAGTTTGAGTGAGATTGAGAAGTGAGTTTGAGAATGAGTTTGAGAGAGTGTGAGTTTGAGAGCAAGTTAGTTTGAGAGAATGTGAGGTTTAGAGAGTTTGAAGTCGTCTATTTGTGCTTGCGGGGGTTGAGCTCTGTCTCTTTGATCCCGCCTATCATCCGTGAGGTTGAGAGAGTGTGAGGTTGAGACACTCAGAGTTTGGGAGAGTTTAAGAGAGTGGAGGTTGTCAACGTTTGTCACCTACTTCGTGCTCTCCACTAAATTCGAGAATCCAAACTGCGTGTGGCCAATTTGGCGAGCCCGCGGATATTGAGACGTGGGTACCAGCACCCAGCTTCAGCTGAGGGAGAGAAAACAGGAAATTGGGACAAACTTTGTGTAGGTCGTGTTTTCCTCAGCGATGGAAGAAGGCAAGGCAATGTGGACACACTCACACACACTTTCATTCACCTTTCTCTTTCTCTCTCTCTCTCTCTCTCTCTCTCTCTCTCTCTCTCTCTCTCTCTCTCTCTCTCTCTCTCTCTCTCTCTCTCTCTCTCTCTCTCTCTCTCTTTCTCTCTCTCTTTCTCTCTCTCTCTCTGTCTCTTTCTCTCTCTCTCTCTGTCTCTTTCTCTCTCTCTATCTGTCTCTTTCTCTCTCTCTTTCTCTCTCTCTCTCTGTCTCTTTCTCTCTCTCTCTCTGTCTCTTTCTCTCTCTCTATCTGTCTCTTTCTCTCTCTCTATCTGTCTCTTTCTGTCTCTATCTGTCTCTCTGTCTCTTTCTGTCTCTCTGTCTCTTTCTGTCTCTTTCTGTCTCTATCTGTCTCTCTGTCTCTTTCTGTCTCTCTGTCTCTTTCTGTCTCTCTGTCTCTTTCTGTCTCTTTCTGTCTCTCTCTGTCTCTCTCTGTCTCTCTCTGTCTCTCTCTGTCTCTCTCTGTCTCTCTCTGTCTCTGTCTCTGTCTCTCTCTGTCTCTGTCTCTCTCTGTCTCTGTCTCTCTCTCTCTTTCTCTGTCTCTGTCTCTCTCTGTCTCTCTCTCTCTTTCTCTGTCTCTGTCTCTCTCTGTCTCTCTCTCTCTTTCTCTCTCACTCTCTCTCTCTCTCTCTGTCTCTCTCTCTCTCTCTCCCTCTCTAATAATACTATTACACCCACTACCATCACCCTCTCGCATTTGCCATAAAGGAAACACTAGTGTTTCTGAAAACAAACAGTTCTCTAACAACCCTAGACAAAAGGGACAATATCCAAGGTATCGAACCCCGGAAATTGCATTTATACTCATTAACGTTTCGTACACGAGAACACAATGGGGTAGCAATTATGGGAGAACTTTTTTTTATTATTTTTTTGCCTTCCGTTAGAAAAACTATTGTAGCAAACAATGGAGGGAAATCTTTATCAATTAGCGTCGATGCAAATTAGAAACTGACTGACGGAGTGTTTATCGTGCAGAAACTCTACGCTTAAGCGTCTTTTTCAGCATCCATAAAAAAAAAATTTGGAAAGACAAAAAAGTCATTTGAGTGAGGTGAATAGAACAGGTTGTAAAATGCCTTCGTAAAGTTGGATTAATTAAACTTGAGAGAGAAGAAAATATTGGACTTGGTGGAGTATATTTGACTTGACTTCACCAAGGTGGAGTATATTTTGTGGCTCCCACATACTTGGGTATTATATCCCGAGGATATAACATCAAGCTGGGATATATATATATAGTGGAGTTCCCACCTAGCTGGGTATATCCTGGTGGCTACCACCAAACTGGGGGTTATACCTTGGGGCTCACACCAATCTGGGATATATCTTGTGGTTCTTACATAGGGTATATCAAGTGGCTACGCTATAGCTAGGGGTATATCCTAGGGCTCATGACAAGCTGGATATATACTGGTGTTTTTACCTAAAGTATATCGTTATACTCACCTGCTAGAGTTCTCACCTGCTTGGGCACAGTTTGGAGTTCTCCCCATGTTGAGGGTATGTCTTGTAGCTTTCACTAAGCTGGGGTATATTATCGGTCTCTTACCAAGCTGGGTTTTATCCTGGGGCTCTAATTGAGCCGTGCTTTCTTCTGGGTCTTCCACTAAGAGCCAAGGGAAAGGGAAAGAAATTATCAGAGGGGGAAAGCGCCAAGCCATTAAGCCTATATAGCACTGGGAAGGGGTCAGGATAAGGATTTGGGATGGGACGGGAGTAAAGGAATGGTGCCCAACCACTTGGATGATCGGGGATTGAACACCGACCTACATGACGCTCGACCGTCGCTCTACCGTTCAGCCCAAGTGGTTGGGTCCCGCTAAGCTGGAGTTTATCCTGGATATCCCAATAAGCTGACATATATCCTGCTGATAAAACGTCACAGACAAGTTGTTGTTCAGAATTCATAAGAATGCTCTTAATAGTCGTAAGTAGAACTTATATTTTTATATAGAAATGAAACGACTAACAGTGAAGTTTCGTTTGAAAAAAATGCCGGGTAAAAATGAAATAAACTCACGGGGCGTAACAAATGCCAGTCATTAGTTTGGCTATAATTATCACCAAAGGATAGCACATAACGAGGATGCTGAGTGCCTCGTTAGACTTACAAAATGTCCTTAGATTAATAACTAGAGCTAAATGAATTTGTGTGATATTTTGACTTGGGACCGAAATATCCGGTCTGTGTTCTTATTCTTCAAAAAATGCATTATTGCATTTTACTTTCTTTCTTTCTCTCTTTCACTCTCTCTCTCTCTTTTTCTCTCTCTATTATTTATATATATGAATGTGTGTGTGTGTGTGTATACATTTATGTTTATATACAGAGTTGGGTTCGTTCTCACCTCAATCTGGAATCCTGTGTTCGAATTCCACTGGGATAGATGTGGTGGCGAGTCTTTCTTTTTATCTAATGTATGTATTCACCTAGCAATAAATAGATACCCCAGAGTTAAACAACTTGTTCGGAACTCAAATTGGTGTTTCTGTATTCGTGACACTTATGGCAATAGTTTTAGCAGAAACGTTGCATAGAGTTATAGATAGCTATGGTTTTAGACAGAAATGTCCCACCGAACACACACAATAAACAAGAATATGAGACCTGAAGAACTTACTTCACTTCAAGAACAGTCACTTTAAACAAGAATAAGTGAACAAAAGACAGCACATGATAATATAACTGCTGATCAACTATCTAGTGTTCATATTAGCTGCTTCACATTACTTTATAGATTAGCGCCGGGTAAAACCAGTCGCCAGATATTTGTTCATTTATTAAGAGTTTACCAGATGAGAAGCAAAGCCGCTGGAGTAGGTAGAATGGCTCCCCAGACGTCGATGGCTGTCTTGCAAACTCCGCTTAATTTGCATTCCAAAGCGGGTGATCAAAGCTGCACTTACCTGGTTGAAGAGACAGACCGATAAGGTGTGATAGCCGATGAACTCCTAAATTGGTCTATTTTCGTGATAAATCCTGTGTATTGGATCTAAACATTTGCAGTTGTAGTGCTGGAAAATTGTTGGAACACCTTGTGCTTCAGGGGCCAGATTCACAAAGCAGTTACACAACCACTTACGAACCTGTTCATCTTTCCTCAATCTTTGGCGGGTTTGTTTACAGTTATTAAACAGTTAATGAGCTCCGAAGCACCAGGAGGCTGTCTATAACAATAACAACAGTTGATTGGGAAGTTTTCATGCTTGTAAACTGTTTAATAAATGTAACCAAAGCCGTCAAAGATTGAGGAAAGATGTACACGTTCGTAAGTACTTGCGTAACTGCGTAACTGCTTCGTGAATCTGGCCCCAGAGCTTCAAGAGTACTTAGCACCCAAAGATAACACTAGAACCCTACAATTGTTTGGGTTCGAGACCACTCACGCGTTTTTACACACAATTCCAACAACTTTTTTTCCTGGCGCCTGAGAGCTGAGTGGACAGCGCTTCAGATTCGTAGTCCTGAGGTTCCGGGTTCGATCCCCAGTGGAGACGGAGACAAATAGGCAAAATGTTTTTTTCATCCTAATTCCCCTGTTACCTAGCAGTAAATAGGTACCTGGGAGTTAGACAGCTGCTACGGGCTGCATCCTGGGGTGTGTGTGACAAAAAGGAGGCCTGGTCGAGGACCGGGCCGCGGGGGCGCTAAGCCCCGAAATCATCTTCAAGTTATAAAGATAACTTCAAGATAACCTTACGTCCAATGCAATACCACTCGGACTGAATCTCTCTCTCAATTTGATTTTATTACCAGGGATAAATAAATTTACACAACTAATGTGTATATTTACACATTGGTAGTGTAAATAAATTACACTACCAATGTGTAAATATTCACATTACCTTCCCTGGTTTACTTTGAAACAGGTCGTTCCCAAGTACAGATTCTCACGCAATAAACAACTTTTGCTCGAAATTTTTGCACACAAATTACTCTCAGCAGTTACGATAGTAACAAGAGCAGCCTCTTCTAGTTATCTCTCTAGCAAACAAAAGTCATTCAATTGTATTTCTCTGAAATATGGAGTCTCCAAATCCAGATTTGCATAGCAAGCTTCTGTGAGAACGAGACTGGTTCCACAACCGGCTTACCTATAGGTGTTTTCGGGGCCCAGCGTTCGCGCGGCCCGGTCGTCAACCAGGCCTAAACGACCAGGCCAAAGTCAAACAGGCCAAAGCCGACCAGGCTTTGCAACACCCATTTCCGAGGTCGATTCTGGCAGGACGATTTGGCGAATGGAATGACCAAATCAACTACTTAGTTCCACGCATTATAAGAGTGGGAACTATGTGTATGATTTGGCCAATAGGAAGACCGGAACTAGGTTGATGGTGTGGTTAAGTAGTCATA